TTTTAAAGTTGTGTTATATTCACACACTAGAGGCATGCTAATATTAACAGTATTAGGATTATTGAATGGGCTTTAAATACGTTGGTTTTGAATTGTGGACTTGTTAATTATGGATTCATCTGCTGTATTTATCTTAACATTTTGTTTACATGATTCCTTTTTTGGCTATTTCTAGTAAGGTATAGTTGATTAAGACATGTTTTGGGGGAGGCAGATAACATTTGCTGAGCTTATCAATTGTGATTTCTTAGTTTAGGTGGGGAAGACAGTTTTTAAAAATTGGCAGATGAAAATAAGAGGCTATTGGATTATAAAATAGCATAATAGAGTGTTCTAAATCCAATTTGGGGCAGAGAAGTTTTAAAAGTAAGCAGGTGTGGGGGAGGTGTGCGTATATGTTCTTGAGACACAAGAAGTGAATGGAATAGGGGGAACGATACCAGCAGAGGCATGGAAAGCCTCTGGATATTTTTGAAACTGCTAAGAAAAGCACGGTTGTCCTGGGCAGTAGAGAGTGAGAGCGTTGTGTATGTTGTTGATTGAGTGTTTTGTAGTTGTTAAGTGTGTGGGATGAATGTGGACAGAAGAGGACAGTGATAAGCACAGAATTGATTTCAATTATTGAGGTAAGCATGGTGGTGGGAGAGCATTGCAGCTGAATAAGCAAGAACCAGAGCAAAACGCTGTAAAAAGTAAGATACCAAGGTAAACAGTACTCACAGAGCTGAAGAGAAGAATGCACAAAGCTGGGTGTGGTGGTGCAGGTCTGTAATCCTGCACCTGGAGAGTGAGGCCGGAGGATAGGGAGTTCGAGCTCAGCATGGGCAGCTGAGCAATGTGGTGAGACTTGGACTCAAAATTAAAAATAGAGAAGGTCGGGGAATGTAGTTCAGTGTCAAGGCCCTGGATTCAAGCACCAGTGCTGCCAAAAAAAAGAGCAGTCCACGGATTGAGAGCACAATCCACAGGTTGAGGAAATTGTGGTAGAAATAATCAAATCAAAATTAATACAGCTTGTGCGTTAAAATAGAAAATAAAATAAATTATTCATATATTTGTGATTAATGTATAATGTTCACTTAGATCTAATTTTTAGTGCTACTCCATAATTATTCTAATTCTATTTGAGTCCATAATTTAAGCCTTTATAATTTAAGCCATAATATAAGCCTTTTTCATTTTTATCTAACTGCTCCTAGACCTGTGGTTGTTATATGCAATTCCTGCTCTGTGGCTTTCTAGATGTTTTAATAATTTTTCTTAGAGATTGTCCAGCCTCATGCCCCATGCCTAACCCTGCTTTCAACTAGTAGTCTTTCTAAGCTTCTGTTCTGTTATCCCAGTGTGTATGCCCTGGCTCATTCCCTCGGCCTGGGTACCTTCCTGCCTTTTCTATGCATGGTAGCAGTCTTTTGAGTCTTTGCCCTGTTTCTTGTTACCTTTAAGCAAAACTGTAGACTGGATATCTCTTGCTGACTTCCTTGTTTCTCCCTATTCTTATCTCTTTCCCTAACTCCTCCTCCATACTTATCTCAGTTGTCACTAGGGAAGCTATAATCATAAAGCCTGGTGGGAAATGAGATTGAACACAGACCAGCCTCTAACCCATGTTGTTTCCCAGCCTTGAAAATTTAGGTTAAAGGAATAAAGTACAGAGTGACTAATGTCCTGGTAACCCAGAAAGTAAAGGCTGAACATTTAGAAGATTAGAGTTTCTGTTTACTGTAATGGGGAAAACCTATTAGGGTAACAGATTTGGCAGGACTGAGCCAGGTTAGAGATAGGAAGTAGATTTTGAATTGGTACATTTTAGATACTTATAGGCCACCAGATACATTTGGCTGTTAATGTGTCAATAGTCTGCTTTCATCTGAGGAATCTCCTTTTCTTTATCATTTTTAATGGCATTAACTCTTTCAAAGACCTCAGGTCTGTTACCTAGAATATCTCACTTTAAAAATTCATCTGCTAATGACTGCTGAAGGTGAAATATGCTTTTGACAAAAGAACATGACATACATGACATTGTATACATTTTATTGCATGGCAGTAAGAAGAATATATTACTGGATGTTACACTGTTGTATTGCTAATTTAAAGAATTACTTATTTTTTGGAGATTAAACCCAGGATCTCACCTGTGCGGGGCAAGTTGTCTGCCATTGTGCTACATTCCCTTTTAGTTTTTTTGTTTTTACTTCTTTATGTAATTAAAATTTTTTTTATTAGTACACGTTTGCAGTAATTGACTACATGAATTTTAAGGATGTACTGGTAAATTTAATCGTTTGATTGAGTTTAGAACTCTGCACTGTAAAAGCATATTTTGTGATTTGTAACTACTAGATAAAGTAGGGAACTACTACTTTATCCATAATTATTTGTAACTACTAGATAAAGTAGGCACAGGGTTGGGGTGTGGGAGGCTCCAAATGACTTTGAATATGGTTTAAGTTCTCTTTGTCCATACATTTCTGTAAACTTAAAACCAGTTCTATCATTTTAATCATTTTACGAAGTTGTTTTTCATATAATCAGAAATTTCAAAAGGTAACCCTACAGAATTGGAATCGGAGTAGGTGGGGCTCCTTGGCTCTTAGGGATTGTTTGTCCATGTTCAAAGGATGCCAGACGCAACCCAAGACAGAAGACAGTCCTGTGGGCCTTAGCTTAGTCTAGAAATTTTACGCTTCTAAAATGTAAAGAACTTTATATTCTTAGCCTTCTTCAAGGAATCTTATTTACTATTAATTAGCTTTTTTTTTTTTTTTGGTCTTTTTTCTTTTTATTGATACCAGGGATTGAACTCACGACTGCCTGCTTGCAAGGCAGGCGCTTTATGCCGCTGAGCTAAATCCCCAGCCCCAGCTTTTTTTATTTTATAGATTTAAATGTAACACTGGATATTGATATCTTTCTAAGGTAAGTTTTTAATTTCTATTTTGCAAACAACATTATTGTATTAAATATTATTCAAGTAGTTTGCCTAGAAAGTAGATTTTACGGAATTGCATCAGTAATCAATCCTGGGCTCAAGACTTGGGTGCTGGGGCATACTGGTAGGTTGTCATGGACTCTTGGGTTTATATATTTTTTGGGAAGTCTCAGTTTGCTTTAAAATTGGCATCCTTGAGCACTTGGTTTAGTGTATTAGTTTCTGAGGGATGATGTAACGAAGTACAGGTTGAGCATCCCTTTTCTGAAATGCTTGGGACCAGATTGATTTTTTTTTTTCAGATTTTAGAATATTTGCATATATGTGAGATATCTTCGGAAAAGGACCCAAATCTGAGTGTTAGATTCATTTGTCCTTCATGTACACTTGTACACATAATCTAAAGGTAATTTTATATGGTATTTTTAGTGTGCCTGTGTTTTGACTGACCCATCATATAAGGTCATAGGTGGAATTTTCCTCTAGCATCAAATCAGTGCTCAAAAAGTTTCAGATTGTGGAGCAATTTGGAATTTTTTTCTCTTCTTTTTCTTTTTCCTTTTCCTTTTCCTTTTCTTTTTCTTTCTTTTCTTGTACCAGAAATCAAACTCACAGCCTTGCACTTGGCAGGCAGATGCTGTGTGATTGAGCCATATCTCTGGCCCACAATTTGGATTTTTGCTAAATAGGATGGCTTCAAACTGCAGAAATTCCTTCTCTCAAAGTTCTGTAGCCTGGGGGTCCAAAAAGTGTGGCAAAGTGTACTGCTGAGGACTTTAGGAGATACCCCTTCCTTGATTGTTCCTAGCTTCTGGATTTTGCTGATAGTAGTTGGCGTTTATTCTCAGTTTCTACCTCTGTCTTCATATGATCTTTCTCCTTGTACCATTTGTCTCCAGATCTCTTTCTCTAATAGACACCAGTCATTGGGTTTGGGGGGCCTAGTCAAATATGATCTGAAAACCCCTATTTCAGATAAGAGCACATTCACAGGTCTTGGGCTTAGTACTTGAGCATATCTTGGGGATGAATTTGAGATATGTATATATTTATATGGTTTTTTTCTGTTGTTCTTTTTTGGTGTTGTTTTTTGAGACAGGGTCTTGCTATGTAGTTCAGGCTGGCTTTGAACTCACTGTCTCACTTTATATAATACAGGCTGGTCTCAAACTCAGGGCAATCCTTATGCCTCAGCTTCCAGAGTGCTGTGATTGCAGGCATGCAAACTATGCCTAGCCTAGTTATTTTTAAAATGTTTATAATACAGAAGACTAGTTATACGTTGGCATTTGTGAGATTCATTCCAAAAAAGAAGTAGAGGTAACAGAAAAACTTAGTAAGCTTATTTTTTCTTTTAATCCTGTGTATGTTTTGCCTTGTAATAATAATGCTGGCTTTAAAAAATTTTACATTAATAAATTAGTTTAATTGGGTAATTTAGGGTTTTATGCTTACTGATGTTTTCACTCTTTTGGAAAATAGAATAAAATATTAACATAAGAGCTTTGAAGTTCAGCTCCAACTTCAGAAGTTGTCTTAGGTGATACACCTTGTAAAACTAGCTGAATGCCTGGCTTTTGGTTAGTAGCTGGTATTAATAATGATTATTATTGAGCCTTTATGAGATTTTGAAGATGACTGTAAAAATTAGAGAATTTGTCTCAATTCTTATCTTTATTCTTTTATTAATATGTGTTTATTAGTGTGATACTTAAGATATTCATCTTGGGGAGCTGGTATATGCACATATGGCATTTTGATCCTTTTTACTTGCCCTTCTTCCTATCTCTCTCTTTGATTAGTATATTGGTTAATTACTGAGTTTACTACCCCAGACATAAGGTTTGGTTAGATCATAAATACAGAAAAATATAGATAAGATGGGAATGTTTTTAATTTTGGGTAATACACATGATATTAGTTAGAGTTTAACTTTTTAGGCTTGAGATTTGAAGTTATTTTTCTGTAAATGGGCTGTGTTATATAATGTTTGTCTGTGAATAAATATCAGATCTAGATTGCATTAACTTTTCCTTTATTCTTTTTCTCCATTTAAATAATCTAGCTGTGTTAATGCGACAAGCCATAAAGCCATAATGTGGCATACCATTCTTTCTGAGAGGTGAATATTACGGAATAAAGATGGCGGACAAAAGTGGGAAGATTGTTCCAGGACAAGTATATATTGAAGTGGAATATGATTATGAATATGAAGCAAAGGACAGAAAGGTCGTGATAAAACAAGGGGAGCGGTATATCTTGGTGAAAAAAACCAACGATGACTGGTGGCAAGTCAAACTGGATGAGAATTCCAAAGCATTTTATGTACCAGCCCAGTATGTTAAGGAAGTCACCCGCAAAGCTCTAATGCCACCTGTTAAGCAGGCAGTTGGACTACCAAATAATTCTATGAAAATGATCCAGAGTCTGCATCTTCAGAGATCAACAGAAAATGTGAACAAATTGCCTGAACTTTCAAGTTTTGGAAAGCCCTCCTTGTCTGTTCAAGGAACAAGTCTTATTCGTGATGCCAATCAGAATTTTGGATCCAACTGTCATCCAGGTCAAACTCTCAATCTAAGCCTGGACCTGACCCATAATAATGGAAAGTTTAACAGTGACTCACATTCTCCTAAAGTTTCCAGCCAGAATAGGACACGCTTATTTGGTCACTTTCCCGGTCAGGAGTTCTTGGACATAGAGAAAACTAGCTTCTCCCAGGAGCAGTCTTGTGATTCAGGAGAAAGCTTGGAGAGAGTACATCAAGATTCCGAATCTGGAGATGAGCTCAGCAGCAGCTCCACAGAACAGATAAGGGTAAGAAGAAAAATTAGACTGAAGAAGCATTTCTACTACCTTAATAGCAATTTATTACATGCTTTCTTTTAATTAAAGTCCTTGTAAGAGTTAAAATTGGTTTTGCTTTATATTTTCAGAATACATGGACTCTGACCTGCCTTAAAGAGCTAGACAATATGTGAAATAATTTGAGAATTTTATAAAGGGTTACTTTGGTTTTTGTAATCGTTGTTCATTTATAGGAGTAGAACTACTTTAAATGTGGAAGTTAGTTTTTATCTCAGTTGGTTATGTATAAAACAGTTTAATTTGCCCAATGATATTTGTTCTAACAAAAACTTTACTGTTCTCTAGCGTTTTTACTTTTTTATTCTTTCCATTAATAATGGATATCTGAGGAAAGATGTCACTGGAATTTTAACTTCTGCTCAGTGCAACTTTTTTGTTAACCTTGAATACCAAAATGAGAGAGCATATCTATTAACATGTTTTTGTGTCTTAAGTAAGTATCTGTTCTTCAGTGATTGCCATGACTTTTAGCATAGAAAAACTTATGTGGTTTGTTCCCCCACTTCATTTTCTTCTGCAATTGTCTGTGCCAGTTTATTTCTCAGGGGAAGTAAAGTCATCCTAAAAGTGCATGCATAGGGGCTTTTTTCTGCAGTGCTGGAGGTTGAATACATTGTCTCACAATTACCAGGAAAGTGCTGTAGCACTGAGCTGTGTCTAAGCCTGGGAAAATTACTTAACCTCCTTGTGTTGTAGCTAGGTTCACGCCAAAATAGGGATCCCAGAGTTGTTGAGGTACATACTTAAGTGGATTAAGTATCCATATCTGTTTTTTCCTGAATTTCTGGAGATTGAACCCAAGACTTTCAGACTGAGCTACATTCTCAGTGCTTTTTAATTTCGACAGAGTCTTCTTAAATTTCCCAGGCTGGATTCAGACTTGCAGTCTTTCTGCCTCGGCCTCCCAGAGTGCTGGAATTGCAAACATGCACCAGTGTGTCTGGCACTACTCTCAATTTAGTGTCTTGAAACAGTAAACAGTTACCTCTCAGGTTCCCTGGGTCAGTAAATCAGCACCTTAGCTGGTTGTTCTGAGGGCTTGGGGTCTGTTGAGGTTGCACTCTGTTTCTAAAGATGGTTCCCTTGCATGATGCTGGCTGGACCTCTTTATGAGTGCTGGAGAGCTGTGACTAGTTAGTAGTTTCCCCAGAGGAAACAGTCAAGGAGCTAACACAGTAGAAGCGCGGTCTTTTATTGCATAGTCTTGGAAGTCTCACAGTCATTCCCTATTGATTGTACATCTCAGTCCTCTTCTCACAGTAAGTGTTCTGTAAAATATAGCTGTCATTATTGCTGTTGTTATTATTCTGTTCCACCATCAAATCTGTAAGTACACCTGTATCCACAGTCGCCTCTCCTTAGGTACAGTGTAAGAATTGCCTGTTCTATCAAAGGACTGTCTCTTCATATTTGCTCTTCGCATCTTTTCATGAACTTTGTGCTGGATATTACAGTATTTTGTTCATTTGGTTTTAGACTCATCATTGGCTACGTTTTTTCCATCGCCATTTAAATTTGCTCATATTTTTCACATCTTAGTAAAGTTCTTCAAATCTGCGTGTGTCAGAGTGTCACTTTATTGTCTTGGCCCTTTGTTGGTGTCTTTTGAAAAGAGTTGTCCATATTTGTTTTTCTGTACATTCTCATATCCTACTTACTCTGTAATTGTTTAGTATGGTTTCTGACTCCACATGCCCACCCAAACTTTACAGTCATAGTTTTACTGTTGATGCACCAGTAATTAAAAAAATAAGTTAAGATTAATAATCTTTTTAAAAATAAACTTCACTAGATTAGCATATTGTCTGAAGTTACCATCTTTGTCAAAAGTCAATGCAAAGCTTCCAGTGTAGTCGATAATCAAAGTCAGCACCTTATGGCATCTAAGATGGCCTTTCACTAGCCATGCAGCCTTCCTGAAATGGTCCTAGTGGCTGATTCATCTTTTATCCCAGTGATTATTATTTTAGATGTTTACATTCCTTGTATGTATGTATGTATAATGTTTACATTCCTTGTATGAAGTTGTTGCATATACAGACCACATCCTGATTCTTTGTTTTTTTCATTTCTACCGTTTCTCTCATTCTTCCTCCCTCCATCTGTTGATCTCTTTTCCTTTTGAGAATGATGTCTCTCTACTTCCTGTTAAGTGTTTTTTATTTTACTCTGTATTTTTACTCTGGGTTTCTCAGATTAGAGAAAGTATGATATTTAAGCTTGTGTATCTGACTTATTTCACTTAACGTTATCCATTTTCCTATAAATGATTCAGGCTCATCTTTATGGCAGAGTAGTACTCCATGGCCGGAAGCACCACATTTTCTTTAGCTGTTCATATGTGGATGGACACACAGTGTGAACCACTTACAAGATTTAGGTATTATACCACAATATATGTTGCTTTTTTATATCTGCACTTTGTTCCACCTTATCTTTTCTTAACTCTGGCCACTACTAATTTATTTGTCATTTCTATTTTTGTCACATTTCAAAAAATGAGATTGTGTTAGCGGGCAAAGAACCTGACACCCACAGCTTAAAGAAGGAGAGGTTTATTTGGCTCAAGTTTCAGAGAATTCAGTCCACGGTTGGATGGCTCCAAGGTAGAACATCAAAAGGGCATGGTGAGCAAAGCTTATAGTTCATAGGGGCCAGGAAACAGATCAGTGCCAGAGAGAAAGGGTCAGGGACTGTTATGTTAGAGTCCCCAAGGCCACACCTCCACAAGCACCCATACACACCCAGACGTGTGCATCATTCATTCCCTGAGCCGCTCACCGGTTGAGTTGGCAGTCTGCCTTAACGGGCACAGGAATCACTTCGCCTTTGATGTGTGCTTGCTTCTTCATTCACCATAATTCTTTAAAGGTTAACCCTGGGTGCTTTGTACATCACCAGTTTGTTCTTTTTGTTGTTGATAGTATTTAATGTATGGATATACCATTGTTTTAACTGTTTACTTACTAAACATCTAAGTTGTTTCCAGTTGTTGGCAGTTTTAATCAAAGCTGTTATAAACATTTCTGTACAGATTTTTCCCCCATTTTGATTTTGTTTTTTTGTGACAGCTCTTCATTTCTGTGGGGTACGCGGCCATGAATATAATTGCTGGTTGTAAAGTAGATGCCTATTTAGTTGTGTAGGAACCTGCTGAACTGTTTTGTAGCATGCCTCTGCCGTTTTACATTCTACCAGCAGTGTCTGAGAGTGATCCAGTGTTGCTAGCATGCCCACCAGCATTTCGTGGTGTAAGTTTTAAAAAAAATTTTTAGTCATTCTGGTAGGTCTGTAATGATACCTCCTTGTGATTTTAGTTGCATTTTCCTGTTGATGTTTAATTTTGGGGGATGTACTTGGGATTGGACCCGGTCTTGCATGTGCTAAGCATGTAAGCTACTGTGGAGCTGTACCACTGACCCCGAACTTCTTTTCATGTGCTCATGTGCCATCAGAGTATCCTTTTTGCGGAAGTATGTCTTCATGTCTTTTTCATATTTTCTAATTGAATTTTTATTCAGTTTTAGGAGTTTTAGGCTTTTGTTCTATAGTCTGGATAATAGTTACTTTGCAGATTTACGGTTTGCAAATTTTTTATACCAGTGTATAGCTTGTATTTTCATCCTTAGTCTTTTTTTTTTTTTGTAGCAGGGATTGAACACATGACCTTGCACTTGTCAGGCAGGCATTTATATATGTGTGTATGTGTGTGTGTGTGTGTGTGTGTATTTTTTTTTTTTGCCTTTTTCCTTTTTATCGGTACCGGGGATCGAGCTCACGACTGCCTGCTTACAAGGCAGGCGCTTAAGCCGCTGAGCTAAATCTCCAGCCCCTCCGGGAGGCATTTTTGCCGCTGAGCTAAATTCCCAGCCCTCATCCTTAGTCTTTTGCAGAGTAGCTTTCTAGTTTGATGAATTGCCTACTTAATCAGTTTTTTTCTTTTATGAATTATGCTTTTATTTCAAGTCTAAGAAAACATTACATAGCTGTTTTAGACTTCTTTAGAAAAATAGAACCAGGGAGAGAGTGCATATACATGGGAAGAAAATTACTCTTAAGTATTTACTTCATAGACATATAGAGGCTTACCAGATCAGGGTCAGTAGAGGAAGGCTAGAGGCCCAGAGAAGACTGTTTGCTGGCAGGGTTGCCCCTCACTTGAGGGAAGTCAGGTCTTTCATTCATGCCTACCCATATTTTGGAGAGCAATCTGCTTTATTCAGAAACTCCTTTTTTATTGAAACAGGGTCTTACTATATAGTCCAAGCTGGCCTGGTGATCTTCCTGCCTCAGCTTCCTCAGTGCTGGGATTCACTTTTTCCAAATGTTAATCTCATACAGAAACATTTAGAATAGTGTTGGACCAAGTATCTGTGGCTACTTCAGATTGACTCTAGATTTTGAATGTTTCTATTTTTTCCCCCTTTGGAAGTGTTGTGTAGCTTCATAACTTACATTTGAATTTGTGGTCCATTTTATTTTAATTTTTGGATGAGGCTTGAGACTTAGGGTTTTTTTTTTTTCCTTTCTGGTCTTGGTATGCAGTTGTGTCATTTGTTGAAAAGGCTTTCTTCAATAAATTATTCTTGTATTTTTGTTAAAAATCAAGTGGACGTGTTCATGTGGGTCTATTTCTGGTCCTTTGTTTTATTCACTTATGTCCCTTCTTTAGGACCATACAGCCTTAAATGACTAATAGCTGTGGAATACATCTTGGATTGGGTAACCTGTGCTTTAGTACTTGTATGATGATTATATCCCCAGTTTTACTTTTCTTATTGCTGAGACAAAGTACTTGGGCGCCCAGAGTTAAAGGAGGAAAGGTCTATTTGGCTCACAGTTTGTTGTGGCTCAGTTGACAGCCTGGCAGAGGGCATCAAGAAGGAGAAAGAGCAGGAGAAAGTAGTAAGCAGGCAGGCAAGAGCATGGCAGCCCTTCTTCGGGCCCGT